AGAATTATACCTGCCCCACTTCCTTGAGCATTAGAGGACCCATCAACATGCATGGTCCACGACTCGTCTTTGAAACGGCCCGGAGGAGTGAGCTCGTTGATGAAGTCGGCTAAATGTTGTGACTTGATGGGGCCTCTCGGCTCAAAAGTTACGTCGAACTCTGAGAGCTCAACTGACCATGCCATCATCCGGCCGGCAATCTCAGGTTTCCTCAGGACTTTGGCAATTGGACAATCGGTTCGGACAATTATCTTGTGGCTTTGGAAGTACTGCCTGAGCCGGCGGGCGGTGTAGATGAGCCCTAAGGCTACTTTTTCTATCAACTGGTAGCGTCGTTCGGCATCCTGTAATGTCCGACTGATGAAGTACACCAAATGTTGTTCGTCTTGTTTTTCCTGAATCAGGACGGCACTGATTGATGTGCTAGAAACGGCTAAATACACAATCATGTCGAGGTCGACGACTGGTTTGGAAAGGATTGGAGGTGCGCCCAGGCGTTCCTTGAACTGTTGGAACGATGCCTCACACTTCGGGGTCCATATGAACCGTTTAATAATTTTTTTTATGAGTTTTTATTATACAACAGTTTACGTTATAAGTGCTTAAAATTCAAAAAGTTATTTAAGTTTGAATATATATTATAATAAGCGTTTACATATTTTGAATCCTTTGAATGTATTATTACATAAATACTTGCAAGATATTGTCTCATTTTAAAATTTTTTAATTTTAAAAAAGAGAACCAAATCATGATTATAGTAAATAAATTGATGACCAAACTAGTAAAAAATTTAAAATCTAAATAATTAATATATTAGCAATTAATTAATTAATTAATTATATATATATATATATATATATATATATATATATATATATATATATATATATATATATATATATATATATATATATATATATATATATATATATATATATATATATATATATATATATATATATATATCACAAAAAATATTTTTAAAAAATCTATTCACCATTTATTTTTATTTTTAAGAAACAAAAATTTATGTACCATAATTTTAAAAAATAGCATGTGACACACACACACAAATCACCATACACCTATTTCCTTCTTTTCACTAAAAAATATAATTTAACCAGAAAATTATATATATATATATATATATATATATCATAAAATATGATATAAGTTTAAAAAGTTCACCATTCACATATATAAATAAAATATAAATATACAGAGATAATAAATCATTATAAAAATCAACCATTACACACAGTTGTAGAAGAAAACAAAAATTTTGCTAGCAATGTATACATTATAGTAATATATACAAATATATTTTTTGGTTAAATTATATTTGTTAGTGAAAAGAAGGAAAATATATCTAAAATTTACCGCCGAAAAATAATTATAATTTGTGTGGAACTTAAATTTTTTTTGACAGTATGCGTGAAACTTCATATTTATATTAATTTGGGTGAAGAAATGAAAATATTTAATTCGTTGAAAGAAACAAAAATAAACATGCACACATTATATGTTGGTCATGAGAAGATTCGAAGGTAGATATTTTCAAAAATTTCGCACAAGTCATAAATTAATGTTATTATTTCACATTATTTATATTTTCTTAAATAAATCAGTTTGATTGGTTTCAAATATTTTTTGAATGATAAGATATTTTGAATAAATAATTTTTTACGAAAGTCTTCGCCTAATTTATTTTGAAATTAATTAACCTAAGTTTGATATAAATTAAATAATAAAATTATTTACAAATGCTTTAATATATTTTTACGTTTGAACACGTTGTGTGTGATAGTAGTAGCCACCAATCACCATCATCGCTTTAGAAATTAGAACATGCTGTGATGTTGTTGTATGGCATTTTTCAAATGTTGTATGCCCCTTTGAAGTACCCCATTTCAAATGTTGGTATGACATTTTTTCAAAATTTGTTAATGACTCTTCGTCACCTTTGACAAGCCTCTCTATTATTTGGGGATGCTTTTCCCCGACAAGGCTAAGTTAACGAATACATTATGATTCTATCAATTGTTTTGTGTGATATATAAGTTTATTTATCAAACTCTTTTTATTGATAAAAAAAAATAATACATGAATTATTTAGGCATTGGAGAGGTATTAGTGTTAAGACTTTTGAACATATCCGTCATACAAATAATAGAGTAGACAATAAGATTGTTGTTTCCAATGAAGATTGTAACTCAATTTTTGATTTGCATGGTTGGTTGCTATTTGAACTAACTACAATGGTGCTACTCTAGAAATTAAATATATTATATTAAAACTTATAAATAATTCGTTAGATTTTTATAGTTTTAATTAGATTGTGGAAAAAAAACACTGCATACCTCTTTATATTTTTTAAAAAAATAATAGTGGGTGATTTGCGGAATGCATTTAAAGAGTGTGAATGGTTTTAATGAAGAAAGAAGAGCAATAGAGAGAATAAAAACTAAATAAAAATAAGCTTTCGAGTATT